TGCAACAAAACTTAGCTATATTCAGAGAAACTGAATCATACTGATCCAACAATAAAATTTTACATAAAAATAATCAGAGTTTCCGGGATATTTAATCAGGTAAGATGTTATGAGTCTGTGAGTCCCTACAGAGGGGGCAATACAACAGGGTATTGGCTGTAGTTTCAATGGCCCCTTATCCACAAGGACAGTCTCAGCTCATATGGAACCTTTTTATATCGGCCTTCCAGAACAGCTCTGGGTAGACCGTTTACAGCATGCTATACTTAATGCCCCCTAAAATTTAGAGACAGCTGTATAATATCTTGCTGGGTTGTGTGGGGGAGGGATGTCTGTTCAAGAAAACATTCTTGGGTAAAGCAGACTGGTCCTGTTGAACTTGCTGATCTTTAATACTTTGTTTAAATGCACTAAGTGTAAGTTTATAGCCCATCATTAGAAACTCCTTCTTGGAGAGGCCGAGATATTGGAGTTTTAATAAAATAGTTCTAATTCATGTTGATTTATAGTTATTCTCCATAAGGAAAGAGCTCAGACCTGTGGAGAAGAACAGTAGTTTCAGCCAATGTATTATAATGAAGATCCATGCACTAGTTTTGATCTTGAACAGTCTTGCCTCCTTCCTTAGAATTGCATTAATACATGGGGCTACCTACAATGTAGTCCTTAGAAATTTAGACCTTTTCAAGAGGGGCAAAAGAGGAATAGGATCCTAGCTGGAATCTGCACACATTAGAATACCTACAGAGGCATTCCATGATATCAAAATCACGTTGGGATATTGGGACAGGGAGCAGGTGTCTCAGAGAACCCTGACTACCCTCCAAAAAAAGCGTCTAGGCTTCTAACAGTGTTGATTCTGATGGAAAGTTGGAGATGGCATTGTAGTTTCTTCAGGAATTGATTAATTAGACCTCTCTCAAACTAAGAAATTGGACCATTTCCCAATCTGCCAGGAGTCGGGTTAAAAATGGATACAATCAGTGCTTTTTTTCACACGTCATACAACCCGCCTTGCCTATCCTACAAGGTTCCATCCAAAAAAGGTGCCGGAACTCCGTTCTGGGCGTTCTATGAGAAAAAAAGCCCTGGATACAATATCAATTTTATCATTTATGGCTGAATTTTTGAAAAACAAGGGACACATTATCTACCCCCCAAAAATGTGCCAGATTATCAGACTGAGAAGACTGGATTGTTGGGCAAGTCATCTCTTCCTAAACTGTTTCACCACTTCTCTGTACAGAGTCCATATTTGGGGAAAAGAAACACTCATTATTTCCCATGTAATTTTCTTTCGAGTATACTCTTTCACAATGATTGGTTAAATAATTCATCCATGTTTGCCACAATACATGCCATACCTAGAGACCATACACAATGCCTTCATTTTGGAACTATCCAGATCCTGATGCTCAGTGGGGATGCAGGAAGTTATTATAAGACCTCTCAGAATAGTGTCTGCAATCTGTTTTTCCTTAATCTCTCAGAGAGATACACAGATGTCACCTTACATGCAAATCATGAGGTACCTCATACACAGAGGAAGAAATAATATAAAATACGTATGTATTTCTGAGACCTGAAAGGAATCTATGAGTCAACCATTTAATCTATCAGATACGGCAGGAAAAAGTTAAGAGGTTTTTGTATCTTTTGGCTGCCATTTAATGGTTGTCCAATTTGTTCAAAAGATGGAGTTTGAAAAAGAATGTTAGCTGAGAGGATGGCGTGCAAAAGTTGGCTTGAAACTCAACATTAAGAAAACCAAAATCATGGCATCCAGCCCTCTCAATTCGTGGCAAATAGATGGGGAAGAAATGGAGGTAGTGACAGATTTTATTTTTCTGGGCTCCAAGATCACCTCAGATGGGGACTGCAGCCAAGAAATTAAAAGACGCTTGCTCCTGGGGAGGAAAGCTATGGCAAATCTAGACAGCATACTAAAAAGCAGAGACATCACCCTGCCAACAAAAGTGCGTATAGTCCAGGCCATGGTTTTCCCAGTTGCAATGTATGGCTGTGAAAGTTGGACCATAAGAAAGGCTGAGCGCCAAAGAATTGAGGCCTTTGAACTATGGTGCTGGAGAAGACTCCTGCGAGTCCCTTGGACTGCAAGGCGTTCAAACCGGTCAGTCCTAGAAGAGATCAACTCCGACTGCTCTTTAGAAGGCCAGATCCTGAAGTTGAAACTCAAATACTTTGGCCACCTAATGAGAAGGAAGGACTCACTGGAGAAGGGCCTAATGCTGGGAAAGATTGAGGGCAATAGAAGAAGGGGACGACAGAGAATGAGATGGCTGGATGGAGTCACTGAAGCAGTAGGTGTGAACTTAAATGGACTCCAGAAGATGGTAGAGGACAGGAAGACCTGGAGGAACGTTGTCCATGGGGTCACGATGGGTCGGACACGACTTTGCAATTAACAACAACAACAAAAGGAAGTGAGCCAAGATATCTGGGAGTGGTGGCCACAGGGAAGGAAGTTTCCTGCCCCGTAGGCTACGGATATATAAGAGATTAATTTTTTCAGGCATACTTTCAATTATTTTGCTTAGATAGAAGAGTAGAAAAATAATCTAGAAGATAGAATGCAAGATTTGTAATTAAACAACTCAGATGGAGTGAGAAATAAACTCAAGATAACCCCCGCTTAATTATGCTTGGTATGAGCAGGGTAGAGGAATACATTGGCAGACTTCCAAGGCTCTGGTATGAGACCCTACAGCAGTAGTGTTTCGGTAGTCTCTGCACTGTCTGTTCCCTGACCTAGCCTACTTGATAGTTGATATTTTAAACTGAAAAAAGCCAGTCCATGTTAGGACTGTCTAAATTGACCAGTTGACCAATGTACCAATGTACCAACTCATTTGAAAAGAAAATAAGTGTGCTAAAGAAGGGTTTCAGTTAAAAGAAGATTCGGGAGTAAAACAAGACAGAGAGAGATGAAAGGGTGCAATGCCAGAGAAAACTGGCTCAAACAATTGTAAGCATGTCTTCTGGAAAATAACATTTCAAACAGCCTCTCCCATGAACATCAACACACTCAGCATTGCCCCCCTACAGTATATTTATTTTGGGTATGTACTTTTATTTGATCTTTGACATAAATAAAATAATAAATATTAGGATGGAGATAAAATTATTGGCATGTATCTAACAGTTATTGACTTGCTGAGATTCTATAGTATAATGTTTATTTTTTGTCAAAATTCCAATGTGGATAAAAATAGAACTAAACAATTTCTTTTTAAAATTAATTCAAATGCAAGACAATTCCCCCCCTTCCCAATTTTCCCTTGGGTACTAGAAGAGTCTCTACCAGTAGCTCTGAATGGAGGTTTGATTCTGAGGCCTATGAATTTTGTTGTTGTTAGTTGCGAAGTCATGTCCGACCCATCGCAACCCCATGGACAACATTCCTCCAGTCCTTCCTGTCCTCTACCATCTTCTGGAGTCCATTTAAGTTCATGCCTACTGCTTCAGTGACTCCATCCAGCCACCTCATTCTCTGTTGTCCCATTCTTCTATTGCCCTCAATCTTTCCCAGCATTAGGCTCTTCTCCAATGAGTCCTTCCTTCTCATTAGGTGGCCAAAGTACTTGAGTTTCAACTTCAGGATTTACAAATGTTGGTTTAGCAAGGGATGTTTTCATTGAACAAATCAACAAGAAACTTTCTCCCATACTAATGAATGACATTTGATTTTGTAAGAAAGAGGTTTTTTTTAATAAATATAAATGGTGTACAAATGTTCAAAATAATATTGAAGACAATGAAAGAAAGCTATTTACAAACAAAGGCTTTTCTAACACTGACTGTATACTAATTATGTAAGCAAGAAAATGATATGATAGAAAACCAGTGCAGGAAGTACTAGACAGGTGAAAAGATGGGAAAGAGTCTCTATTCAATTTCAGTTATCTATTCAGAGTCCAGTTGGCTTTGTTAATGAAAACCATGTTCTAATTTTAATGTTAACAGGCCATGGTGCTCAGAAATTTAACATTCATTATATGATTTAAATTGAATATACAGTTGTATCAGCAACCATTATAGGCAAATTACTCTACTGACTGCTTGGAAAGTTATCCTAATTTTAAGAAAATGTTCCTAATGCATAAAATAAATTAATAATCCTTCATGTGAATTGAAGTCCACAATGTTCCTCTTATTATTAGAACTATTAGGTTACAACTGCTATGTGTGTAAAGGAGCAAGAAACAGAAAACAGAGATTATTTTCCTTATTGTACCATGGTATGGTTGAGGATAAACTGAAACTATGAATTAAAATATTGAAGCTATATTCTTAGATATACAGGAAAAAAGAGGTATATATGTGATAAGAAAGAAAATATCAAAACAGCAGGACAATAACATTAGCATTTTGCCTACTGCTGACAGAAGATTGAGAGTCAAGTATCAATAATAATTTAACTCTCCTGCCATCCTGGAAGCCTAGTCTATGTGCCATAGGGTAAATTGGAGCTTTTAAGATGCAGATTACATTCCTGCTTTCACGAGACCAAGTCTAGTGAAATCAGTTTTAAGTTGACAGGTATGATATTGTGCTGTACAATCGGATATAAAGACGTTATAACATGAATGCAAGTACATTGAAAGAGGTATGTTACAATTAAAGCATCATAAAGAGAAAAAAGAAACACCAGAATGCCAACTCTTCCAAAACTCTGTTGCTAAACATAGCATTTATTTTGAACACCCCAAAAACGGGTGTCGTGCAAGTATATTTGAATAAATCCTTGCAGTGTCCCCTCTGGCCTCAGGGTGTCGCTGTTAGCCAACGGGGACGCCGAAGAGAATGGAGAAGAGCTGCTGAACAGATGCTTCCCAAAGGAGAATTCCGGCATTTCGTTAAAGGCAGGGAAAAACAGCAGCTCACAAATGCAAAGCGGTCTTGCGAAAAGGGATGATCCCCAGAAATTAAGAAGAAAGGAGAGTGTTTCTTACTATTCCGCATTCCAATGAGATTTTGAGGCAGTCAGCTTTATCGCAGAGGGGATGGAGCGAGGGCAAGGAGGGAGTGGCAGAGCAATCCGAAGGCAAGTACTGTCGCTCTTACTATTGTCGGTTTCCTACCGGGCTGTCTCGGAACAGATTCATTATTCAGTCCCCGAAGAGATGTCAAAAGGTTCTATAGTGGGGAATCTTGCAAAGGATCTAGGACTGAGTCTCAGAGAACTGGCAAGTCGCAAAATGCATGCCATCTCTGTGGATAAGGTGCAGTATTTCAGAATCAGTGCAGAAAATGGAAACCTCTGTGTGAATGACAGGATAGACAGGGAAGAAATATGCAGTAGAAACCCACTATGTGTTCTTAATCTAAAAGTGGTTATTGAAAACCCGTTAAATATTTACCATCTAAAAATAGAGATACAAGACATTAATGATAATTCACCACAGTTTCTTAGTAGCTCTATCCAGTTGGAGATAATTGAAACAACACAAATAGGCACCAGGTTCCTTCTTGGGGATGCCAAAGATCCGGATATTGGCACAAACGCTTTACAGAATTACCATCTTAGCACCAATCCTTACTTTACTTTGGATGTGAAAGAGAGTCAAGATGGAAATAAATTTGCAGATTTAGTACTGCAAAAACCACTCGATCGTGAGAGTGAACCAACCCTTCAGCTAACACTTACTGCGCTGGATGGGGGGAAACCCAGAAAAACTGGCACAGCCCAAATATGGATCAATGTCACCGATGCCAATGATAATCCACCTATATTCACTCAAGAAATCTACAGAGTCAGTCTGAGGGAAAACCTACCAGTTGGATTCCTGGTGCTGCAACTTGTAGCTTCGGATAAAGATGAAGGTTCAAATGCACAAATCAGATATTATTTCAGCAATATACCGCTGAGTGCAAATAAGAAATTCAGCCTAGATTCAACCAGTGGAATGATTTCTCTTGTGGAACCATTGGATTTTGAGGAAAGTACAGAATATGTGATGACTGTAGCAGCAAAAGATGGAGGCGGATCAATGACCCATTGTAAAGTAGAAATAAAGGTCCTAGATGAGAATGATAATGTGCCAGAAATTATATTTGCATCTGTTTTTACTCCCATTCGGGAAGATTCTCAGTCTGGGACAGTTATTGCTCTCATCAATGTACATGACAGAGATGCTGGTGATAATGGAAAGGTCTTTTGTTATTTAGAAGATGACTTGCCATTCAAGATTCTTCCATCATCTGACAACTATTACACTCTCTTGACAGATAAACCTCTAGACAGGGAAAAAGGATCTAGGTATAATATTACAATCACAGCCACTGACAAGGGAACTCCTCCATTAAGCACAAACAAAACCATCTTGCTGCAGATCTCTGATATCAATGACAATGCCCCCGCTTTTGAGAAAGCGTCCTACAGCATCTACGTGCCAGAGAACAATCCTTCTGGTGCCTCCATCTTCCAGATTCAAGCCTTTGATCCGGATGTGGATCAAAACTCACACATTACATATTCAATCCTCACCAGCAACATAGAAGAACTTCCCATTTCCTCCTATATCTCCATTCATTCTGAGACCGGCACCATCTATGCCCAGCGGTCCTTTGACTATGAGCAGTTCAGGGAATTCCAGCTGCAGGTGAAGGCCCAAGATGGCGGGAGTCCCTCTCTCAGCAGCAACGTCACAGTCAGGGTGTTTATCCTGGATTGGAATGATAACAGCCCTCAAATCCTGTCCCCTTCACCAGACTCCAAGGACTCTGCCCTCTTTGAGATGGTCCCTCGTTCAGCCGAGGCAGATTATCTGGTAACAAAAGTAGTGGCTGTGGATGCTGATTCTGGACACAACGCCTGGCTCTCCTACCAGCTGATTCAAGCCACAGAACCAGCCCTCTTCACTATTGGCTCCCATACGGGTGAGATCAGGACAGCAAGAACCTTTATGGAGAGAGATGCCATGAAACAGAGACTGGTCCTTCTGGTGAAGGATAATGGACAGCCGCCCCTCTCGGCCTCTGTCACTCTGAATCTGGTGTTTGCTGAGAACTTCCAGGAGGCCCTTCCGGAGATGAAAAACCAGATGAACAGCTCAGAGGATCAGTCGGACCTGCAGTTCTATTTGGTGGTGGCCTTAGCTGTGATGTCATTTTTATTCCTCTTGTCAGTGATTCTGGCCATTGCCATCAAACTCCGGCAGTCAGGAAAGTTCAGTTTCTTACCATGTTTTGCTCCCATTTCCCATTCCACAGCTGGGGTCATATTTCCACCTAATTTTCAAGATGGGACTCTGCCTTATTCCTACCAGCTTTGCCTCTCCTCAGAATCCAGGAAGAATGAATTTACCTTCCTGGCACCAAACATTCATATTGCAGAGAATATGCTTTGTGGTGAAAAAACTGAGGTCCCTCTTTCAAGCGATGGAGAAAGCAGTTTGCATCCTCAAGTGGAAAATAACGGAAAGGTAAATATCAATTAAATGCAAACTCCATAGATCTATCCCCTAGAATACACCTGTTATTCAGAAGCTAATTCCATTCTCTTTTATTATCATTCTGATCGGTAACATTCATTTTTTTAAAAAAAAAATCATTTATGTTATTTATAGTGCAAAATACAGAAAAAATTATACCTATTAAAAAGAAAGGAAAAGAGAGAAAAAAGCTGCTTTTTTGTTTTACCCATGTTGCAGTTTGGTTCTGGTTTTACATTTGCTTCTCAATTTCCAATAGCAAAGAAGAATCTGTCCACTCCTGGATATGTAAGATTATACTGTTTAGCCAGCAGTAGTTGAACATAAAAAAAATCCATGCATCTTGATTAGTTCACTAAAAGAAATAAAATAAATCTATTCCTAATATCTCTGTACAAGAGGCAATATAATAAAGCATGGCTTAGGGCAGAAGTCCCCAACCTTTTGGGAACCAGGGACCGGTTCCGTGGAGAGAGGTTTTTCCACGGACTGGAGGGTGAGTGGTTTTGTGTGCTGCCTGCATCTCGTGGATGGGGCTTTGCTTGTTTGTGCAGACTGGTTGCTGGCATGCCACACCCCGATACTGGTCCACGGACCGGGGGTTGGGGACCCCTGGCTTAGGGATTCCACTGTGTTTGATCCCCAAGTATTGGTCATTAGGGATTCTTCTGAATTTTGCTTCCAAGAGAGCAGTAGTCATCACAAATGGGCCAGCATGACAAAGCTGCTAAATATAGGTAAGGTTATATATTTCATATAGCTTGCTAGTTTCCACATAGGGACAGAGATGTTTAAGAGAAAATGCTTAGGAAAGGAGGTAGAGTTACTTTGCCATTCTATATTCAGTATCAATGAGTTTATCATTTTGGCTACCTGATTAGGCTATAGAGGACTTCCCAAGATAAACCTAATGAATTAGATATTTGGTAATATTTCTTCTGGCAAGCAATTTAAACATGCCCTTTCTCAGAATGTGGGATAATTAATCTGAATTGTCCAACTGAGAGCAATAGCAAGGTAAGTTCCCCTTTTAGTAGTATTTTATACTAAAAGAAATTTCTCATGTCTAGGTAATGACTTTTCCATGAATTTGAAGATTTTAAATTGGCCTTAATTTATGTATGGCCCTATTTTACTTAAGTTTTACTTACGTTGTACCCTTTGTGCTTATTGCAATGATAGTTTTTAAAGGAGGGGGAGGTTATGCTCTTTTTAACATTATTCTCAGATACTATTTGAATTATTCTTGCAAAGATGTCCTGAATTATGCTGAAGGAAATATGCTAATTCCCTTATCGCATTATGATTTTATGATTATGCCAATACCAAGAGATATAGTACTTTTCACTTAGACATCAATGTTTGACTGATATTAGGTAATCAGTTCTCTGTCTGAAAGTATTCACTTTTTAGTCTCATACACACTTATCTAATATTATATGTCAAGTGTTTCAATAAGAGTATATAGTACATTTGCTTTTTGTGGTGAAAATATTACTGAATCAAAGAGATTCACCTGGTAATTGCTTTTGCCTTTATATTAAGTGTCCCTCCATTATATGGATAAACAACTCTTCAATAATCTATATCATGGGTGTCAAGCTCGCAACGTCACGGGACGTGTCACAATGTATTGTGACTTTTTTCCATTGCTGGCAATGGGGTGGGCGCGGTTTCACGATGATGCATCCGGCCTGTGGGGCAACAGTTTGACACCCCTGATTTATATAGTCTGGTTTCTCTTCAGATCATACAAATATTTCGCATTTACTGAAATCTATGTTAATTAATTTGAGTTTGAGAAATCCCTAAGTGCTCAAGTAGTACTACTTTCTGGATGTTTTCTTTGTTGCAAGTATCATTTCTTTAGGCTAAACAGTGGGGCAAAAAAGTATTTAGTCAGTCACCAATTGTGCAAGTTCTCCTACTTAAAAAGATGAGAGAGGCCTGTAATTGTCATCATAGGTAGACCTCAACTATGAGAGACAAAATGAGAAAACAAATTCAGACAATCACACTGTCTGATTTGAAAAGTTTATTTGCAAATTATGGTGGAAAATAAGTATGTGGTCACCTACAAAGAAGCAAGATTTCTGGCTTTCACAGACCTGTAACTTCTTCTTTAAGAGGCTCCTATATCCTCCACTCATTACCTGTATTAATGGCACCTGTTTGAATTTGTTATCAGTATAAAAGACACCTGTCCACAAACTCAAACAGTCACACTCCAAACTCCACTATGGTGAAGACCAAAGAGCTGTCGAAGGACACCAGAAACAAAATTGTAGACCTGCACCAGGCTGGGAAGACTGAATCTGCAAAAGGCAAGCAGCTTGGTGTGAAAAAATCAACTGTGGGAGCAATAATTAGAAAATGGAAGACATACAAGACCACTGATAATCTCCCTCGATCTTGGCTCCATGCAAGATCTTACCCCGTGGGGTCAACATGATCACAAGAACGGTGAGCAAAAATCCCAGAACCACACCTAGTGAATGACCTGCAGAGAGCTGGGACCAACGTAACAAAGGCACTACGCCGCCAGGGACTCATATCCTGCAGTGCCAAACGTGTCCCCCTGCTTAAGCCAGTACATGTCCGGGCCCGTCTGAAGTTTGCTAGAGAGCATTTGAATGATCCAGAAGAGGATTGGGAGAATGTCATATAGTCAGGTGAAACCAAAGTAGAACTGTTTGGTAGAAACATAACTCGTCGTGTTTGGAGGAGAGAGAATGCTGAGTTGCATCCAAAGAACACCATACCTACTGTGAAGCATGGGGGTGGCAACATCATGCTTTGGGGCTGTTTCTCTGCAAAGGGACCAGGACGACTAATCCGTGTACAGGAAAGAATGAATGGGGCCATGTATCGTGATATTTTGAGTGCAAACCTGTTGGAATGTTCATGAGGAGGAAGAGTCATGTGGTAACTCAGTCAGCCAATGTGAAGAAAGTGCTATTGAGTCTGTGCAAAGGGTATTGAGTTAGGAGCTGGATTTCCAGTCTCAGGTTTGTCTCTGTATCTCTCTGTAAGAAGTCTTCAATTGAGCTATGTTGCTGTAAAGAAGAATGTATGGTATTGTAAATATTTTGATATATATATAAAGAAGTTATTTTGAATCACCTAAATGCAGTCAACTGTGAGAGCTTCTGATTTATTTTTCACCAGCAGAGAAATTAAAATTCTCTAACAGTTATGGGCCCAGAGCTTACTAAGGACTGCATTGTAATTTAAAGCTGGAAGAAATTGCCTGTGTTTAGAAAGTATAAGAACAAGGCAGAATTAGCAGAATGGATGCAATGGAATTTAAGGAAAGCTGTGTGCCTAGTTTGGGCCAGAAGAATTACATTATATGGGCTGCAAAAATGGAATGTTTACTGAAAGCTAAAGAGCTGTGGTATATTGTAGAAAATCCACCACAAGTATTTGCAGCTGCTGATCAGAAGAATCATGATCGAGCAATGGCTTATCTCATCTTGAATTTAGATGATGAACAATTTCTAAATGTTGCAAATTTAAAGACTGCAAAGGAGATTTGGTTGAAGTTGAAAGCTGTGCATGTGAATGTTTCTGCATGCAATATAGTGCAATTGTCAAGAAAACTTTACAGGGCCTGTTTGCAACCAGGTGAATCTGTGGAACAGCATTTAAATAAAATGCAAAGTTTATTTTTGGACTTAGAGCAACGTGGGATTAAATTCCCTGAGTCCCAGAAGGTTTTATTGTGTTGAACAGTTTAGATAAAACCTGGGACACAGTTTCTGTCATATTTGAGTGTAAAGAAGAGCAAGACTTAAATTTTGAGGCTTTAAAGGCATGTTTGCTTAATGGACAAGAAAAGCGCCATTTTAGAAGCAGCCACGAGGAGGTGAAATTCCTGAGGAGGGGGTCCAGACTGCAAGTTTCCGAAGAAGAAACATTTTGCAAGCAGAGAGCTAAGCGAGAAAAGAATTGCTACATTTCTGGAGCAAAGACACATCTGAAAAGGAACTGTTTGCAAAGGAACAATTTGCAGCAAAGGACATTTGTGCAACCAAAAAGGACTGATTTGCAAAAGGAACATTTTGGTGTTGCAAAAGTTTGCTATAGCAACAACAGAGACAAGTGGCTAATAGATAGTGGGGCAAGTCAAACAATTGTTAATGACTCTGAATTATTTTGCAGGTTTGTTCCAGTAGCACAAGAAGCTGTGGCTTTGGCAAATGGCCAGAAAGCAAAAGTCATCGGAAAAGGCGATGTAAAAATTCCATATTTGGAATCAAAGTTTACCAATGTGCTTTGTGTACCTGAGATGGAACATAATTTGTTAAGTGTGTCTAATTTAGACAAACAAGGTTTTGAGATCATTTTTGTAAATGGGAAGTGTCTCATCAAAAGGAATGGGAATATTTGTGCAGAAGGCATAAAGGAAGATAATCTATATGTATTGCAGGGACAAAAGGTTCAATGTTCCCATATATTTAAGAATGTTGCAGAGCATGATTCATGTGTTCATCTTCTACATAGAAGACTTGGCCATGCAAGCTTTAAAGTTTTGCAGCAAATGCAAGATTTTGCAGAAGGGCTAAATTTGAAGGGATGCAAAACATATTTGGACTGTGCAGTATGCAAAGCATCGAAGTCAAAGGCATTCCCAGTTAGTAAATATAGCACAAGACAAACAAAAAGAGTTCTAGAGCTGGTCCATGCAGATCTGGTGGGACCTATGCAAGCCAGTTTGGGAGGAGCAAAATATGCACTGGTAATTGTTGATGATTATAGCAGGTATAGTTTTTGCTACTTGCTTACAGCAAAGACAGAGGTGCTACAACAATTCAAACAGTGGGTAAGTTTTGTAGAGAGAAGGTAAAGAAAACAAGTGTGTCAGTTGCAAACTGACAGAGGTACTGAATTTATGTCAACTAAATTCCAACAATGGTTGGGGCAGTTGGGGATAAGACACAGACGTACAAATCCTTACACAGCAGCAGAGAATGGTGTAGCTGAAAGAAGGAATGGTGTTTTGCAAACAATGAAAGATTCATTATTGGAGGATTCTGGTTTGAGCAGGTCATATTGGGGAGAAGCCATATTGACTGCCAATTATATAGTTAACAGGCTGTGGAGTTCCTCCATTAATAATACTCCATATGCCATTCTATATGGGAGAAAGCCATCACTGGCACATTTGAGAATTTTTGGTAGTACTGCATGGGTACATATTCCAAAAGCAATCAGAAGAAAGGGACAGCAAAAAGCAAGAAAGCTCAGGTTTGTGGGCTATGAGCCAGGGTCAAAAGGATATCGCTTTAGCGATGGAAGTAAAAGAATTATAATTTCAAGGTCTGCTAATTTTGCAGAACAAAATTGGGACAGAATTAATGCAAATTCTGGGTATGTATCACTTAATGACGGTGATCTATTTAATGACAATAACTCATCTAATGATAAAAAATGATGTTGAAGATGAAAATATTATTGAAGATGTCAATGTTCAGGGAGGAGAGCTGAACAAGACATGAAACCAGAAAGAATTGAGACACAGGAGCAGTTAATACCACGTAGGTCAGAGCGATGTAACAAAGGAATTCCGCCTGACAGGTATTCTGCCAGCAAGATAAAGGTTTGCAATATGTGGTATGAGCCAAGAAGTTATAAAGAAGTGTTGGCATTACCAAAAGCTGAACAAGAAAGATGGAAGGAGGCCATGGATAAAGAGATGAAATCCATGGGAGACCATGAAGTATTTAAATCAGTGACTTTGCCACAGGGAACCAAAGCTGTGGGTTGTAAGTGGGTATATAAGAAAAAGGTATTGCCAAATAATGACATACAGTTGTTGCAAGATTTAAATATTAATGTAAAAGAATCTGTAAAGGTATTTGAAGACAATGCTGCCTGTATAAAAATGGCAACTGGTGACAGGGTGAAGAACAGAAGTAAACATGTAGACATTAAGTATTGTAATGTCAGGGAAGCTGTACAAGGAAAATTGATTAGTTTACATCATTGTTCTTCTGAGGATAATTTGGCAAACATGATGACTAAACCATTGGGTAGTGTTCACTATGAAGAATGCGTTAAGTCAATAGGTCTGATGTCTCTTCCTGTTATGAAGGGAGGAGTGTTGGAATATTCATGAAGTTATTTTGGAATATATAAGTTATTTTGAATCAGCTAAATGCAGTCAACTGTGAGAGCTTCTGATTTATTTTTCACCAACAGAGAAATCAAAATTCTCTAACAAAACCTCCTTCCATCAGCAAGGGCATTGAAGATGAAACGTGGCTGGGTCTTTCAGCATGACAATGATCCCAAACACACCGCCTGGGCAATGAAGGAGTGGCTTCGTAAGAAGCATTTCAAGGTCCTGGAGTGGCCTAGCCAGTCTCCAGATCTCAACCCCATAGAAAACCTTTGGAGGGAGTTGAAAGTCCATGTTGCCCAGCGACAGCCCCAAAACATCACTGCTCTAGAGGAGATCTGCATGGAGGAATGGGCCAACATACCAGCAACAGTGTGTGCCAACCATGTGAAGACTTACAAAAAACGTTTGACCTCTGTCATTGCCAACAAAGGATATATAACAAAGTATTGAGATGAACTTTTGATATTGACCACATCCCTATTTTCCACCATAATTTGCAAATAAATTCTTTCCAAATCAGACAATGTGATTGTCTGGATTTGTCTTCTCATTTTGTCTCTCATAGTTGAGATCTACCTATGATGACAATTACAGGCCTCTCTCATCTTTTTAAGTGGGAGAACTTGCACAATTGGTGGCTGACTAAATACTTTTTTGCCCCACTGTATACTGGATGTGGATAGTGATTATACCTCAGCATCTAAGAGAAGTAATTTATATGTGAATAAACCTAAAAGAACTACAGGTTAGATTAAATGGATTTTTTAAATTGAAGGTCCTGTTGATATTCCCTTCAAAAGTGTACCATTCATCCAAAGTTAGTAGGTGTGTAGCCATGATTTATGATAATAGAAGCAAAAAATTTCTAAATCCAAGATCACAAAATCACAATTTGGCCACCATAGCTAATCTAATATCAAATCTTAATCAAGAAAAGGGCACCAACCATATCTCTGTATAATTGGTTCCACTATCAAACCACTGATACTGTTTAAAGGTTCCTTCTAAAATCCACTTGTAAGCACCTTCTTAAAACTTGTTACTGCGTGACAGAGAAAAGATCTTGACTTTCTGGTCTATATTACATTCTTTCAAGGATTTGAAAAGTACTATTATTTTCCTTCTCATTTTAATGTTACATTCTTATAAATGTTGCTAATTACCTAAAGTCACAAAACCAGGCACTAAATATACAACTAAAGGTAAACTTTTTGTTTCCCTTCATACTTTTAATTGTCTTTTTGTTACCATATCACACTTGTTTATTCACACATTATTCAGAAATGATTGTTGAATAATCAGACTTTACACTTTGTGAGCATCTTGTAATTAAATGAATATGAAACATTGTATTCCACCAATAAGAATTTCTGTGGAATTCTCTTATTCTAAATAAATTTCAAAAGCCAGCAAATTCTCTTTTATCAGGTTGAATGACCATAGTCAATAAGAATAGTAAAAAATATTCAGCAGAGCACTAATAGCATCATCAAAAGCCTAGGTGGCAGCATTTATCAAGTTAATCTTGGTTGAGCTTGACAGATCCCTCAAAAGCAAAGCAAGGTTAGATTAATACTTGGATGGAAGACTCCCAGCATATCGTACAGCTGCAGGCTTTATGGGAAGGTGAAAATATCCAGAAGGAGAAAATGACAAGAAATGTTTTGAAGTGTTCCCACAAAAACTGCAAATGAAGTGTCATTTTTTTATGACATGAAATTGTAGACTGAGAAACAGGAGAAACCTATATTAGTTGATCATAAAATTACAGCAGGGCATTAAAAGTGTGATCATTCAAGATTTCATACTCAGATGGATTTAAATTAGCACAGTTGCTCTTTTTGTGAAGTTGCAACAAAGAGACTTTGGTAGCATGATCCATGAAGAATTAAATATTGGAATTCCAACTCTTCAGAATAAAAAATAATGGTTAGAAGTGACCTTGGTGGTCTTCTAGTCAACCCCCTGCTTGAGCAGGAGACCCTATACCATAGGTGTAAAAGTCGCCACGTCACGTGATGTGTCGCAACGTATCGCGACTCTTTTTGCATTGCCGGCAATGGGGTGGGTGTGGCTTCAGTATGATGAAGCCGGCCTGCAGGCTGGCGGTTTGACACTCTTGCCCTATGCAATCCAGACAAACCAAGGTGGGGCCAGCATTTCCGAGCTGACCTCTGTGTCTCACCTTTGGAAGGCAAGTCACAGGGCAATTTTCAAAAAGGAGGCAAAGTGAAGCAAAACCAAATTAGATTTAAATTTGGTTGTCATAAAAATTATGTTAATTACATATAGTTAATATTATTACTCTCCACCCTATTGCATTAAAAATGACAATTTAGCAATAACTTTTGAAAGGATTAAGTCTTTGTTGGTCTGTATAGGACCTAGCTTTAAATATTCTTCGAATGTACTTTTCAATTTCAGCCTTCAGTAAATATCTGTTATCTTCCAGAAGAAGTGAATAAAATTTTATTTCTTGTACATCATTGTAACAATGCGTAGAAGAGAGTTAGGCACTTAAGGAATCTCTTTGAAGAATCTTTTAAAAAAAATCAGAAGAATTTCTTTAAAATTTCAAAGCCTTGACTTTCCTCCCAACTGTATAAGAATGCCAAAGGAAGTAACTAGACAAATAGAAAAATGTGACTGGATAGCCATTTGTCTGAAATGGTATAGGGTTTCCCACCTGAGCAGGGAGTTGGACTAGATGACCTCCAAGATCCCTTCCAACATGTTATTATCATCATCATCATCATCATCATCATCATTATTATTATGGATCATCGCACAGTCAGCCAGATGTTCAGACTGGATTTGGCATTTTGTCTACTTATCAAGTCCTTATCCAGGACCTGGGATAGGCAGATGTGGATGTTTGATGGTATTACAGATATCGTCGCAGGATGGAAGCAGTTCCTAGTAAGGCCGCCTTTTGCAATTGACTAATAGCAAATTTGTCAATGCCAATGGTGTTCAAGTGGTGCTCCAGTTGTTTTGGGATTACACCCAAGGAGCCTATCACTATTGGTACTACCCTTGCTTGCTTTTGCCACAGTCTTTCTATTTCTATTTTCAGTCTTTCTATTTCTATTCACAGTCTTTCTATTTTTATTTTATTATTATTATTAGTAGTAGTAGTATTAGTATTATTATTAAAATTCTCCCTTTGACTGGGCATTTTTACTTGACGGGTGTTACTTTTGTTCTGTTGAAAATATGCACAAAAACCTGAGTAATTCTATTCTATATCATGATGCCAAAACCTTCTGGGAGCCATACTATATATTTTCAAATGTTTATTTTAAACATATTCCTCCCACAGGGAATATATGTATCTCAAAGACTTGCATATTTATAAGTAATTTCTGATATCACACATATCAATTTACAGTATATATTTGAAGATTCAGTTTCAAAGAAATCATGCATTTATTGCCACAATACCACCATGCTTTTTACTCAGCTCCACTTTTCTGTGTTTTGCACACTAATTATTAGCCAAGTGACTCTGTATGGCTTACAATACAATGTGGATTGGAGTGTATTGCAACCCCTTTTCTCACTTCTTGATCCCTTTCTGGAGCATTCAGAAACTTGAAAACACTTTGCTTTGTGTCATGTGGATCATGCTAATAAAGAATTCCCCCAGTTACGGATTGCAGAAAAATTATGAGTGATACAGAAAAAAATTGTGGAAAGATTTTGCTTTCTGAAATTTTCTGTCAGATAAATTATTGCCTCTAATATTGAAAAAGGACACAAGAAACGGATATTACTTAGCAATCTATAGAAGCAGTCAGTCCTTCCTAACCATATAAAATCATCAGCAAAATAGAAAAAAGTGAAGTTATTTCTTTAAGATGCTTCTTGCAGTTCTGCATCGGAGACTCAGAGTGCCGCTGTTGGCCAACATAGTTCCCAGAAAGGAGCTGGCAATCTAATGGGCTTCCTGCCTTCTGACTATCCACTCACCGAGTGCAGAGCAGTCAAAGAGCAGGACTGAGGGACCCTCAAACACCATGGCAGAGAAAAGAAAACCACTGCAAGGCAGATAAAACTCAGGAGAATCCCAGGACCCTCTTGGTGCTTTCTTCCCAATGGGAATTTAAACTCCTCAGCTTACTGGATCGCACAAAGCACTTTTCACCGCAGGTGGGATGGACGGCAGGAGCAAAGCAAAGAGCAGCTCTGTAAAAAGGCAAGTACGTCTCCTCTTCTTATTGTCTTTCGTCTGCCAGACTGCCTCGGAGCACGTTCGCTATTCAATTCCAGAGGAAATGGGAAAGGGTTCCGTTGTGGGGAATCTTGCCAAGGATCTGAAGCTGAGTCCTGCAGAAGTGGGAAATCGCAACCTGCATATCCTTTCTTTAGGCAAAAAGCAATACTTCTCCATTAATGCTGAAAATGGGAATCTGTATGTAAAAGACAGGATTGACCGAGAGGAAATCTGTGGGGAAACTGCAGTCTGCCCCATCAGTTTTGAAGTGGTGAGTGCAAACCCCATGGACATATTTTATATAACAGTAGAGATCCAGGATATCAATGATAATGCACCACATTTCTTAAATGGTGATATCAAGTTAGAGATAAGTGAATCCTCTTTACCAGGAGCCACATTTCTTCTTGGACAAGCAGAAGATCCTGATATTGGAACAAATTCTCTCCAGGACTATCATTTAAGAAATAACCAATATTTTATTCTGGATATTAGTAAACGTGATTCAGCAAACAAATATGTAGAATTGGTGCTGGAAAAACAGTTGGATCGTGAAAGTGAAAGCACTGTTAGTTTAACCCTTAGTGCTCTTGATGGAGGAACCCCTGCAAAAACTGGAACAGCCAAAATACAGATTACAGTCAAAGATGCTAATGACAACCCACCTGTCTTCAGTCAAAAAGTGTACAAAATCAGCCTCAAAGAGAATGCGTCAAAGGGATCTACTGTAATACAGGTCAAAGCCACAGACAAAGATGAGGGTTCCAATGGTCAGATCACCTATTCCTTCAGCAATATTGCTGATAATGTGCATCGAAAATTTGACTTGGATTCAGAACAGGGATTTATATCAATTCACGAAGAGCTAGATTTTGAGGAAACAGAGAAGCATACCATAGCAGTAGAAGCAAGGGATGGAGGTGGATTAGTAGCACACTGTAACGTTGAAATAACGCTATTAGATGTAAATGACAATGCCCCAGAAGTGATTCTCGCCTCCTCATCCAGAGAAATTCCTGAAAACTCTCCAATAGGAACATTGGTAGCTCTCATCAATACAAATGATAGAGATTCGGGGGATAATGGGGAGGTCAATTGCCATTTAGAGACTGCTTCCCCATTCAAAATAGTATCAGCAGCTAATAACTATTATAAGCTGCTGACAAATGGTCTCCTAGACAGAGAAAGCACCCCAGGGTACAATCTTACAATCACAGCCACAGACAATGGTACGCCCCCTCTTTCTACACAGAAAACCATCTCACTGGAGATTTCGGATATCAACGATAATGCCCCTGCCTTTGAGAAATCTTCATATAGTGTCTATGTGGCAGAGAACAATCCTGCTAGCTCCTCCATCTTCAGCATCAAAGCTGTAGACCCCGATCTTGGTCGCAACGCTAGGATCACCTTCTCCATCCTCACTAGCAAAATAGAGGCGCTACCTCTCCCGTCTTACCTCTCCATTAACTCAGAAAGTGGCACCCTCTATTCTCAGAGGTCTTTTGACTATGAGCAACTCAGAGAGTTTGAGGTACAGGTGAAGGCTGAAGATGGCGGCTCCCCTCCTCTCAGCAGCAATGCCACACTGAAGGTGTTCATCCTGGACCAAAATGACCAAAGCCCTCAAATTCTGTATCCTTCTCCAGGAGCAGAGGGCTTGGCCTCCTTTGAGATGGTGCCTCGCTCGGCAGAGATGGGGTACCTGGTTACAAAGGTGGTGGCTGTGGACGCCGACTCTGGGCACAATGCCTGGCTCTCCTATCATCTACTGCAAGCCACTGAGCCGGGGCTCTTCACCATTGGTGCCCACACTGGTGAAATCAGGACACTGCGGACGTTTCTGGAAAGGGATGCCCTGAAGCAGAAGCTGGTGGTCTTAGTGAAGGATAATGGGCAGCCCCCTCTGTCTGCTACAGTCAGTCTCAATCTGATTTTTGCTGAAAACTTCCAAGAGGCACTGCCAGAAATAAATAACCAAACCACCGATTCAGAGCAACAGCCTGAGCTCCAGTTCTACCTCGTGCTGGCCTTAACTTTGATCTCCTTTTTGTTCCTCTTGACTGTAACTCTAGTCATTATGATGAAACTCCGACAGTCGGGGAATCTGAAGTTTCTTCCATGCTTTGCTCCCATTCCCCATTCAAGCAATGCCATTATATTCCCACCAAATTATGAGGAAGGAACTATTCCTTACTCCTATCAGCTCTGCTTATCCTCTGAGTCCAAGATACATGAAATTACTTTTCCAACTCCCAAAGTTCAAACTGCTGAATATATTTCATGCAACCAAAATTCTGATGTTCTTCTGCCTACTAATGGAGCCAATGTCCTAATTTCTGAGATGGATAAAACTAATTTGGTGAGTTTTCCTTTGAAGAGTACCAACTTTGCATATTTTGTTAATGAAATTGAAAGTGTTAAAAGATTCTATAAATACATCAGATCCTTTGATTTCTGTGTAAAAATAAGGAAATCTATTTTATTGTATACAAGTCATCCTTTAGTTATGACTACAACTGAGCGCAACATTTCTGTTGCTAAGTGAGAAAGTTTTTAGGTGAATTTTTCTGCACTTTATGACCTTTCTTGTCACAATTGGTAAGAGTTGTTACATTAGTAAAACTGTTGTTACGTGAATCTGGCTTCCCCATTGACTTTGCTTATCAGAAGGTCACAAAAGGTGATCACATGATCCTGGGGGATTACAATTGTCTTATGAGTCGGTTGCCAAATATCTGAATTTTGATCACGTGACCATAGCGATGCTATAATGGTTGTATCTATGAAAAATGATCATAAGTTACATTTCTCAGTGCTGTTGTAACTTCGAACAGTCACTAAATGAATTGTTGTAATGAGAGAATTTATTTATTTAGTTTATCTGGCACCCATCTCATTGTCAAGCAATTCTGGGCACTTTACACTGTCATAAGTATGTTGTTTTATAAGTATGATTGAAACCAGATAAGAATTGATGAGTTTTTTCCATAGATCTTTCTAGTGAAAGGAAAGGAAATGACTAAACTTCAATCATTTGTAAATATTTTGAATGAAATTAAGTAGCAATAACCTCAAATATATATAATGAATGACTTTTTAATGATTCCTCAGTCGCAAATCTTGTAACAGTAATTAATGGACAGCTTCTTAAGCACTCATGGTTCACCTTTTTTGATACACATGAAATGTCTCAATAATGGATGCCAATATTTTGTGTGAGACATTTTACGAGATGAAGCTAATATGAAATCCCATTTTGTTTTCCATTGTGACTATAATTCAACTAAAATCATTTCTACTCTCTATGTATTTATTTTAATAAATTAAACTAATTAAGTTTTAATTATAAAGTAATTTTTGATAAGCACAGGAAAAACTTTTTTACAAATAAAGAGATAAACAAATAACCCAAGCATGCCATGTTAAATGTATGTGCCTTACTCCTGAGAGAGATAATGAAAAACAACTTGGGTTTTTAAAAAAGGCTCATTGCTTTCCTTTCTTTCAAACATATTCCACGCTGTTGATTAATCTGTCAAAGCAGCTTACACTTTAGAAGTCTAAACATAAAAAAAAGTCCAGTTCCTCATTTTCTCTTTACATTTAACAACACATTATTTTTTAAAAAAGGAAAACCACTATCACATTGTCACACCCTCAATAGTCCTGAGAAGAAAATAGTAGAATCTACTCCTGACATCAGATTTTTGCAAAAGATCGATATTAATTGTAACATAACATTTGCAGCTAGGTTGCTTGTTGCAGTTGTGGGCTTCCATATTTAAAAAATGGAGGACAGTTTTAGGATACTGCATATAAAATCCACTAAATTATTTACCAGTGAAAATGTTTTTGTGTCAGATCCTACTTCATTGCTAGCATATTGATTATATACAGATTAAATAATAAAAGAGAAAATGACATAATAGAAGTTAGAAAAAAAACATTACTAGAAATATTAGAGAAGTGAAAGAATGTAAAGGAGACGTTAAAACAATTACATTTTCAAATCCTGGGTGACTTCATTAATGAAAACTATGTTCTAATATTATATTGCTTGCCATTGTAGTCAAGAATGTTATTACATGATTTAAATGACTTTCCAGATTTGTCAGGAACTGTCATAGGCAGACCATACAAACTATTCACAAAGTTACATTATTGCTAAGAACATTTTTCTAATGCTTAAAATGAGCCAGTATTTTTAGAGTGTTGGAGCACATCTTTCACTCATGCTCCCTCTTCCTCTTGTTAGTAAAACTATTGCCTACGTAAAAGAAAATAAAAGAAATAGAAAATTGACATTTAGTAATTTCCCTATGGTGCCATGATATGGTTCAAGATAAATTAAATTCTGAGATCAAACACATTGTACCTAAGATATATTTTAAGTGTCACTCTCACCCCATTTATTGAATCTAGCCTGTGTACCATAGGGTAGGTAAGAGTATTTCAGATGCATAAAACTCTCAATCTTCAGTTATGTGCTTATTATCCTGTGGAGTGAATTCTAAGTTAGCAAGTATTAACATCGCATTGTGCACCATGACATTAAAAGCTCAATGAATGAAAGTTCATTGAAAGAGCTATGTAGTCCAGCGTGACGAAGAGAAAAAAACAAAAACTACAAAGCCAACTCTTCCAAAACTCTGTTGCAGTTTTCAGTTAACACAGCATTTATTCTGAACACCCTAAAAACGGGTCACATCCAAGCACTTTTTTTAATTACTTGCGGGATAGAATTACGTGCAGTTTCCCCTCTGGCCTCAGGGTGTCGCTGTTAGCCAACGGGGACGCCGAAGAGAATGGAGAAGAGCTGCTGAACAGATGCTTCCCAAAGGAGGATTCCGGCATTTCGTTAAAGGCAGGGAAAAACAGCAGCTCACAAATGCAAAGCGGTCTTGCGAAAAGGGATGGTCCCAGCAATTAAGAAGAAAGGAGAGTGTTTCTTACTATTCTGCATTCCGATGAGATTTTGAGGCAATCAACATTATCGCAGAGGGGATGGAGCGAGGGCAAGGAGGGAGTGGCAGAGCAATCCGAAGGCAAGTACTGTCGCTCTTACTATTGTCGGTTTCCTACCGGGCTGTCTCGGAACAGATTCATTATTCAGTTCCCGAAGAGATGTCAAAAGGTTCTATAGTGGGGAATCTTGCAAAGGATCTAGGACTGAGTCTCAGAGAACTGGCAAGTCGCAAAATGCAAGCCATCTCTCTGGATGAGGTGCAGTATTTCAGAATCAGTGCAGAAAATGGAAACCTCTGTGTGAATGAAAGAATAGATAGGGAAGAAATATGTGGCAGAACCCCACTATGTGTTCTTAATCTAAAAGTGGTTATTGAAAACCCGTTAAATATTTACCATCTAAAAATAGAGATACAAGACATTAATGATAATTCACCACAGTTTCTCAGTAGCTCTATCCAATTGGAGATAATTGAAACAACACAAATAGGCACCAGGTTCCTTCTTGGGGATGCCAAAGATCCGGATATTGGCACAAACACTTTACAGAATTACCATCTTAGCACCAATCCTTACTTTACTTTGGATGTGAAAGAGAGTCAAGATGGAAATAAATTTTCAGATTTAGTACTGCAAAAACCACTCGATCGCGAGAGTGAACCAACCCTTCAGCTAACACTTACTGCACTGGATGGGGGAAAACCCAGAAAAACTGGCACAGCCCAAATATGGATCAATGTCACCGATGCCAATGATAATCCACCTATATTCACCCAAGAAATCTACAGAGTCAGTCTGAGTGAAAACCTACCAGTTGGATTTCTGGTGGTGCAACTTGTAGCTTCGGATAAAGATGAAGGTTCAAATGCACAAATCAGATATTATTTCAGCAATATACCACTGAGTGCAAATAAGAAATTCAACCTAGATTCAACCAGTGGAATGATTTATCTTGTGGAACCATTGGATTTTGAGGAAGCCAGAGAATATGTGATGACTGTAGCAGCAAAAGATGGAGGTGGATCAATGACCCATTGTAAAGTAGAAGTAAAAATCCTTGATGAAAATGATAATGTGCCGGAAATGATGTTTGCATCCATTTTTAATTCAATTCTGGAAGATTCTCAGACTGGAACAGTTATTGCTCTAATTAAAACCAATGACAAAGACATGGATGATAATGGAAAGGTCATTTGTTATTTAGAAGATGACTTACCATTCAAGATTCTTCCATCATCTGACAACTACTACACTCTCTTGACAGACAGACTTTTGGACCGAGAAAAAGCATCTCAGTATAATATTACAATCACAGCCACTGACAAGGGAACTCCTCCATTAAGCACAAACAAAACCATCTTGCTGCAGATCTCTGATATCAATGACAATGCCCCCGCTTTTGAGAAAGCATCCTATAGCATTTACGTGCCAGAGAACAATCCTTCTGGTGCCTCCATTTTCCAGATTCAAGCCTTTGATCCGGATGTGGATCAAAACTCACACATCACATATTCAATCCTCACCAGCAACATTGAAGAACTTCCCATTTCCTCCTATATCTCCATTCATTCTGAGACCGGCACCATCTATGCCCAGCGATCCTTTGACTATGAGCAGTTCAGGGAATTTCAGCTGCAGGTGAAGGCCCAAGATGGCGGGAGTCCCTCTCTCAGCAACAACGTCACAGTCAGGGTGTTTATTCTGGATCGGAATGATAACAGCCCTCAAATCCTGTCCCCTTCACCAGACTCCAAGGACTCTGCCCTCTTTGAGATGGTCCCTCGTTCAGCCAAGGCAGATTATCTGGTAACAAAAGTGGTGGCCGTGGATGCTGATTCCGGACACAACGCCTGGCTCTCCTACCAACTGATTCAAGCCACAGAACCGGCCTTCTTCACTGTTGGCTCCCATACAGGTGAGATCAGGACAGCAAGAACCTTTATGGAAAGAGATGCCGTGAAACAGAGACTGGTCCTTCTGGTGAAGGATAATGGACGGCCACCCCTCTCGGCCTCTGTCACTCTGAACCTGGTCTTTGCTGAGAACTTCCAGGAGGCCCTTCCGGAGATGAAAAACCAGATGAACAGCTCAGAGGATCAGTCGGACCTGCAGTTCTATTTGGTGGTGGCCTTAGCTTTGATGTCATTTTTATTCCTCTTGTCAGTGATTCTGGCCATTGCCATCAAACTCCGGCAGTCAGGAAATTCTAATTTCTTACCATGTTTTGCTCCAGTTTCCCATTCCACAGCTGGGGTCATATTTCCACCCAATTTTCAAGATGGGACTCTGCCTTATTCCTACCAGCTTTGCCTCTCCTCAGAATCCAGAAAGAATGAATTTACCTTCCTGGCACCAAACATTCATATTGCAGAGAATATGCTTTGTGGTGAAAAAATTGAAGTCCCTCTTTCAAGTGATGGAGAAAGCAGTTTGCATCCTGAAGTAGGAAATAATGGAAAGGTAAATATTTAACTGCAAACTCTATAACAGCACCCCCTAAAAGACAGCTCACTCCTAGATTACATTCTATTTTAAGTTTCTAACACCTAAAATTGTATTTCTTCACAATATTTCACTGAGCCATTAAACATTGCTTTCTCAGAAAATGGTCCAACTAAGTGTAATATCAAGGTAAGTTTCTTTTTTAAGAACTTCCATATTGTTTTAACATAAAATCAGTTATCATATTAATTTTATTACAGAAGTTCTTGTGTCTAAGAGGTTAGTGTTTGCGTGTAGTTCAGGATTTTAATCTGACCCTTATTGTATTTTAATAGATCTTAGGTTTTTAACTCAGTTTCATCATATTATTGTCTGGCAGCATTTGAATTCTTGCATAAAGTAGTGATATAATTTTGAATGATACATACCCAAATGGTGTGTGTGTGTGTGTGTGTGTGTGTGTGTGTGTGAGAGAGATATAATGCTTTTAGGACTGTATTGATACATATTACCTCAAGGTTTGACCACCAATTTCTGAGTTCAAGTATTAATTTAGATGTCTTGTATTTTACAGTCTCAAAATATTTGCTAGAACAAAGATATAATCTGGATAATACAGTACTTTTGCATTTATGTTAGACTTTCTTTCATTATAAAAAAAAATTCCTTCTTACCCCTATGGGTAGTATGTGTCTTCCTCAATCTCAGGACCTCTACCAGAGGTCTGGGAGTTTGAAAATTTTGCACAGTAGCTTAGATGTTTGTAACATTGGACTCTAACTTTGGACAGAGAGCTCTGATGTTGTTCTTGTGAACTGTTGCAGCCACTCTCCCAGCTTATGAGTCATAGCCCAAAATGTTCCTACCATCATTAGGACCACTTTGGCCTTCTTCCTTCCTTCAAGTACTACTCCAAATTCTCATATTCCTTCTTCATGATGTTGCTGTTATTTGGCACTGCTACATTTACTATATTACCACTGCTATCTTTTGCTCCTTGTCTACTACCACAATGGTTGATTGACAAGTACCTTCCTGTCTGTCTGGATCGGAAAGTCCCACAGGATCTCAGCCCTCTTATTCTCCATGATCTTCTGTGGGATCTCCCATCTGAACCTGGGAGGATCTAACCCACATATGTGCATATGTTCCTGTACACAATCCCAGGTTATGCCTTCGATGCATGCCATTCCTATACTGATATAGAGGCAATTCTAAGATCTCACGCATTTCATTATACCATGCTACCATTCCCTTATTCTGGTAGCCTGGATATGACTAATACCACTCCATTTAGAGAAGAGTCTTATATTTGTGATATGTAAGTTATAGATGTATTTAAAGAATAACAGTTAAATAAAAACAGTTTGAATGATAGTTGTGCTGTTATTCCATTTAAAAGTGCAGTGATCATACAAAGTTAAAATATCTGTAGTCATGAGCTTTATGATTATAGAATCTTTATAGGCTTTATGATTATGATATCAAGCCTAATGATTATAGAATCAAAAAAACTTATGCATTCACCATTTTAAAATTGCCTCACACTACTGACTCATGTAATTTGGAATTCAGTGCTGAAGAGAACAGTTAAGGGAACTTGGTCAGTGGTGGGATTCAGCCGGTTCGCACCACTTTGGCAGAACCGGCAGCTAATTATTTGTTGCCCAGGCCCAGAATGGACTTCTGGAAGTGGCATTCACACAGACAACCAGTTGTTCACATATTTGAATCCCACCACTGAACTAGGTCTGTCTAGCCCAGGGGTAGGCAACCTGGGCTCTTTTATGACTCATGGACTTCAACTCCCAGAATTCCTGAGTCAGCTATGCTAGCTGACTCAGGAATTCTGGGAGTTGAAGTCCATGAGTCATAAAAGAGCCCAGGTTGCCTATCCCTGGTCTAGCCCATGGAAGAGAAGGCTTAGGGGTGGCACAACAGCTGTCTTCCAGTACATGAGGGGTTGTTAGAGAGAAGAGGGGGGGTCAATTTATTCTTCATACGAGGGCAGAACAAGAAGGAAAGGGGGAAGTTTGTTAAATAGAAATCCAACTGGGAACTGAGGAGAAATTTCCTGACAAGTGAGAACAATTAATTAATAGAACAACTTGCCTCCCAGAGTTGGAGTTTTTCAAGAAAAGATTTGGCAACTATTTATTAGGGATGTATACTGTAAGGTTTCTGCCTTGGACAGAAGGTTGGACTAGAAGACCTTGAGGGTCCCTTCCAGCCCTATGATTTTATGTTAGTTAGATGTTACGTTACATTACATTACATGATAGATGTAGAATGAAAATTCAGATATTTATACACATATTCCTTGCCCATCTTGTACTGTAACTAAATAAATCTAGGAACTTAATACAGTACTCCACCCATGAGAATGTTACATTAATAGCTGACAAAGCTACAGCAGGATATTAAAAGACATTGTGCAAAATTTCTCCTAATTCAGATGGCACTCACAGTACCGTAAGTGCTCTTTCTAAAGTTGCGACAAAACTTTTTTCGTAGCATGACCTATGAAGAATTAAATATCAGAAGCCCATCTCTTCAATCGAAGGTGTGCTAGCATTTCTGACAAGCTCCATCTATAGCCTTTGGAAAGTGGCTCACAGGGCAGACTTCAAACAGGAAGCAGAGCCAGGGCAAAATTAAATTAAATATAAACTTGCTTCTTATAAAAATTAAATAATGGGAATTAGATACAGCTAGCACAATTATTCTTCATGCAGTATTTTTCTCTCATATTAAAAGCTGCAATTTATCAAAAACATTTGAAATTATTAAGTGTCTGTTGCCTGTGACCCACTTTAAACTATCTTGCATTTTCTTATCAATTTTAGTTTTCAGCAGTTATCTTTAACGGTAATTATTGTTATTGTATTAATGATAATTATATTTTTATGCCATCTGGCTTCAAGCAACTCTGGGCTGTTAAGATCTTTTTAAAAAACCTCTCAGCATGCTTATTACTTAACTACAATCTCTGTATATTATGCATTTATTACCAGTTTATAAAGTATGAAATCATTATAGATCATATAAAAGGTACATGATTTCCATATACTGATATTTATGTTATTTTTCAGTTCCACTTTAAGAACAAAATGCCATTCAAGAGAATAGTTTCCGGTTTCAGAACAATCTTCTCCCTGAAAAGTGTCCATAATCTGGCACTATCAACACACAATAGTCACTCTGTATTTAGTCTGTAACTACCTTTTAGGGAATGACATTCAACTGCTTAACCATCTGACCTCTGATTGACTGACTGATTGATTGATTTAGTTTAAATGCCGCCCATCTTATTAGCTAAGCGACTCTGTATGGCTTACAACACAATGTGGATTGGGACTGTATCACTTCTTGCTCCCTTTAGAGCATTCAGAAACTTGAAAACACTTTGCTTTTCTGTCAGTGGAACATACTAATAAAGGGTTCTCCCAATTATTGATTGACAAAAAATTACCAGTGCTACTAAAAAGAATTGTGCATAATTTTTGATTTCAGAAATTTTCTATCAGATAAATAAATTATTGCTTCTAATATTGAAAAAGGACACAAGAAACAGATATTACTTAGCAATCTATAGAAGCAGTCAGTCCTTCCTAACCATATAAAATCATCAGCAAAATAGAAAAAAGTGAAGTTATTTCTTTAAGATGCTTCTTGCAGTTCTGCATCGGAGACTCAGAGTGCCGCTGTTGGCCAACATAGTTCCCAGAAAGGAGCTGGCAATCTAATGGGCTTCCTGCCTTCTGACTATCCACTCACCGAGTGCAGAGCAGTCAAAGAGCAGGACTGAGGGACCCTCAAACACCATGGCAGAGAAAAGAAAACCACTGCAAGGCAGATAAAACTCAGGAGAATCCCAGGACCCTCTTGGTGCTTTCTTCCCAATGGGAATTTAAACTCCTCAGCTTACTGGATCGCACAAAGCACTTTTCACCGCAGGTGGGATGGACGGCAGGAGCAAAGCAAAGAGCAGCTCTGTAAAAAGGCAAGTACGTCTCCTCTTCTTATTGTCTTTCGTCTGCCAGACTGCCTCGGAGCACGTTCGCTATTCAATTCCAGAGGAAATGGGAAAGGGTTCCGTCGTGGGGAATCTTGCCAAGGATCTGAAGCTGAGTCCTGCAGAAGTGGGAAATCGCAACCTGCATATCCTCTCTTTGGGCAAAAAGCAATACTTCTCCATTAATGCTGAAAATGGGAATCTGTATGTAAAAGACAGGATTGACCGAGAGGAAATCTGTGGGGAAACTGCAGTCTGCCCCATCAGTTTTGAAGTGGTGAGTGCAAACCCCATGGACATATTTTATATAACAGTAGAGATCCAGGATATCAATGATAATGCACCACATTTCTTAAATGGTGATATCAAGTTAGAGATAATTGAATCCTCTTTACCAGGAGCCACATTTCTTCTTGAACAAGCAGAAGATCCTGATATTGGAACAAATTCCCTCCAGGACTATCATCTAAGCATTAATGAGAATTTCATACTTGAATTTAGACAGGTGGAAAATCGAAAACAATATCCAAAATTAGTGCTAAAGAAACAGTTAGATCGTGAAAGTGAAAGCAGTATTAATTTAACACTTACATCTGTTGATGGTGGTAATCCAACAAAAACTGGAACAGTCAAAATATGGATTAGGGTCATTGATGCCAATGACAACCCACCCATCTTCAGTCAAGAATTCTATATGGCCAGCCTCAAAGAGAATGCTCCAAAGGGATCTACTGTAATACAAGTCAAAGCCATGGACAAGGATGAAGGTTCCTATGGCCAAATCAACTATTTCTATAGAAATATTGCTGATTATGCTCATCGGAAATTTGACTTGGATTCAGAACAGGGATTTATATCAATTCATGAAGAGCTAGATTTTGAGGAAACAGAGAAGTATACCATAGCAGTAGAAGCAAGGGATGGAGGTGGATTAGTATCACACTGTAACGTTGAAATAACGCTATTAGATGTAAATGACAATGCCCCAGAAGTGATTCTCGCCTCCTCATCCAGAGAAATTCCTGAAAACTCTCCAATAGGAACATTGGTAGCCCTCATCAATACAAATGATAGAGATTCGGGGGATAATGGGGAGGTCAATTGCCATTTAGAGAATGCTTCCCCATTCAAAATAGTATCAGCAGCTAATAACTATTATAAGCTGCTGACAAATGGTCTCCTAGACAGAGAAAGCATCCCAGGGTACAATCTTACAATCACAGCCACAGACAACGGTACGCCCCCTCTTTCTACACAGAAAACCATCTCACTGGAGATTTCAGATATCAACGATAATGCCCCTGCCTTTGAGAAATCCTCATATGCTGTCTACGTGGCAGAGAACAATCCTGCTAGCTCCTCCATCTTCAGGATCAAAGCTGTAGACCCTGATCTTGGTCGCAACGCTAGGATCACCTTCTCTATCCTCACTAGCAAAATAGAGGCGCTACCTCTCCCGTCTTACCTCTCCATTAACTCAGAAAGTGGCACCCTCTATTCTCAGAGGTCTTTTGACTATGAGCAACTCAGAGAGTTTGAGGTACAGGTGAAGGCTGAAGATGGCGGCTCCCCTCCTCTCAGCAGCAATGCCACACTGAAGGTGTTCATCCTGGACCAAAATGACCAAAGCCCCCAAATTCTGTATCCTTCTCCAGGAGCAGAGGGCTCGGCCTCCTTTGAGATGGTGCCTCGCTCGGCAGAGATGGGGTACCTAGTTACAAAGGTGGTGGCTGTGGACGCCGACTCTGGGCACAATGCCTGGCTCTCCTATCATCTACTGCAAGCCACTGAGCCGGGGCTCTTCACCATTGGTGCCCACACTGGTGAAATCAGGACACTGCGGACGTTTCTGGAAAGGGATGCCCTGAAGCAGAAGCTGGTGGTCTTAGTGAAGGATAATGGGCAGCCCCCTCTGTCTGCTACAGTCAGTCTCAATCTGATTTTTGCTGAAAACTTCCAAGAGGCACTGCCAGAAATAAATAACCAAACCACCGATTTAGAGCAACAGCCTGAGCTCCAGTTCTACCTCGTGCTGGCCTTAACTTTGATCTCCTTTTTGTTCCTCTTGACTGTAACTCTAGTCATTATGATGAAACTCCGACAGTCGGGGAATCTGAAGTTTCTTCCATGCTTTGCTCCCATTCCCCATTCAAGCAATGCCATTATATTCCCACCAAATTATGAGGAAGGAACTATTCCTTATTCCTATCAGCTCTGCTTATCCTCTGAATCCAAGATACATGAAATTACTTTTCCAACTCCCAAAGTTCAAACTGATGAATATATTTCATGCAACCAAAAATATGATGTGCTTTTGGCAAGCAATGCAAGCAATATCCCAAATTCTGAGATGGAACAAACTAATTTGGTGAGTTTTTTTTTTTATTAGTACTGACTTTGTAGTCTAACTGTCCTTTAAAAGATTCTCAATAAATGTTTGATTCTATGATTTTGTATATACTTTTTATTTTATACTATCAGTTCCTTCACCTGTTGTTTCCTCATTGGTTATTGTACAGAAGAACCTCTACAGTTGTACAGTAATAGTTTCTAGCATGCCTTTCATAAATGAATGTTATTTCAGAATTAGACTTTGGAGCAAGCATAGTATCCTTCCAATCGAAAATATATCATTTGCTACTTTGTATGTATACTTGTGTGCATGTATGTATAAGATAGTTAAGAAAGTCAACTTTTATGTGAAATTTTTATGTGAAACTCAAATCACCATAGTTTTGAGGGTTTTTTAATAGAAGTTTCAAGTTTAGTGAAAGGAAAGTTCAAATAACATGTGAGTACCTTGAATAAAATAGCAAATTCAATGAGAAAAAATAACATTCACATATGAATAATGAGTGATAGATATGTTATGCTTCTCCAGTAGCTGTTGCTGCAATAATAGCAGTACTGTAGTCATTTGCAGAAAACATTTCAGGCATTCCGATCAGTACACATAAATTATTTAGTAGATATAATGTGGACCAACAGCATATGTCGCTATTTAGTTATGAACTTTTTTTTACTAAAAAGAAGCATATAAGTATGGTTTTACATTTTATCAAATGCACAGACCAGGTTATTGCCTGTCTCAAATCATCTCTGCACTGAACAAATTAATGTACCACGGTTACATTTGAAGTATGAACTAATTATTTTGACCATTGTGGAAGGAGTACTATTGTAAATTAAGCTGTGAAAAAGCCAATTAGAGCTGTTCCTAAAAATCTACTCTCACTTTCAAATGGTATATAAGAGCGCAAAACACAACTTTTAAAAAGCAATTCTCTTTTATCCTTACTTCCTAATTTATAATACATTTCCTGATGAAGTTGTGAAAGCCACTTACAATTTAAAGTTAAAAAGGAAAAACAGAAAAATGCCAATAACATGCGCCACCAATTCACTATTTAATTCCCGTGAAGTAACAAATTACTTCTACAGCCAAAGAAGTCTAATAAGCCCCAGACCTGCATATAGCAACAAAGTACAAATTGCAACCATAATGAATGGAATTTGATCATTTATGTTGCATGCTAAAACATAATAAAATCATAGTTATTCCCTTTTTCAACTGGTAGCTTTATTTCAAATAAAACTTCTTTGTGTCTTGTATTTGCTGCAATTGCTAGAAATGTAATCATTTTTGCAATATTCTTTTTTATTTAATATAATTTATATCACTTTCTCATGGACATACCTTGAAGCAATATCACAGTTGAAATGAGAAAAATACTATTCTGGTATTTCTTTCCCAAAAGACAAATTTATATACAGTATGTGAAAATGGAACGTAAACATATTGCAGGCTATATCACTACTTAATTGAACTGCTTTTTAAGCTGACAGATATATTCCACTTAGTCAAGACATTAGAAACCTATGCTCACGCCTCCCTGTTTATACCAATACAACCTTGAATGAAACAATCAAGGATGTGCTATTCAGTACTTGCCTATTAATTGCCCATATTTATGAACCAGATGGTCTTTTCTCACTGCTAAGCCAGAGTCCTCTCTTGTATCTTTGAATCTACAGAAAGCTGGTTTGAAATTTGCTGTTTCCATTACAAGTTATATCCTGCTTCTATTGAGTCACTGTAATAACTTGATCATTTGTGTCCACATGGTGACGGCCAAGTAGAAACTACGGAATATATACTTCCCCATTGCACATACTAAAGAGATATCTATATCTCATTCATTGACCTCATTACTCCTAAGGGTACCAGGCCATACAAATCCATACTATATTAATTTATTAGTTTTGAATAATAGACTATTACTACTAATGTAGACAAATTCTTTGCAACAGCATATAAAATACGACCAGAATTAATATATAGTAAGTGTTAATTGAGCTAGAAATATCCTATATTTATAATTTAATCTCAGTACTTAATGTTATTATTGTAATATTATCATTGTAAGTTATGTTTACTAACACACTTTTAACTGGATTAGTTACCATCCCAGTATCTCAAGAGTTCAAGTTAGTTTGGTTATTTTAAGCTAATTAAACAAGTTAGTAAATTTTACATCAGCTGGTAGATTTTAGAATTATAGTTCTTTATTGATACTTTTAACTGTATAGATTTTCTTCTGTTATTTTACATAAAATCCAGACCTGCTTGTAATTTTTAATTTACTGTACAGATTAAGTTCATGGTATAAACACATTTAAGGCTACTAAAATCTAGTATTATAGATACAAAATTGCTGGATTACTTTTGTATTGTCTATTTTACACATTATGCTAGACAAAGAAATGCATAGACAGAACTGACTAATCACCTGATTTTCCTCCAAGGCAATGGGAAATAAAAATATTCTGTAGGTTTTGATTTTCCTCTTGGATAGGATAGGACTAAGGGAAGAATTACTTTAACATCCAACTTCAATATTCTACTGGTATCTTAACACTGGTATTGCTATCTACAAGTTTGATTTACTTGTGGTCTGGGACACAGTTGGAACAAGCTGTTGCCAGAGCATGTTTGTACAGTAGTTAGGCAAGTTTAGGAAATTCAGCCTTTATACTATGTCAAACATGCTTGCAAACTGATGAATGCAACTAGGCCTCAAAAGATTCTGCATATCAATTCTTTACGTATATTCCCTGAAAATGTTGGTTTGGGGTTTGCTCCACTGAAGATATTGATACCCCTGGAGACTCAGCAGCAGCCTGTAGTCTTTCTCCCTTTCTAAAACTACATGGAGCCTGTTTCTTCAGGCATCTTGCATTTTCTACAAAGCCAGTAGAAAACATAGTATTCTGGGTTGTTTGGACAGTATAGAGAGGGCAAAAAGGCCTCATTCTACCAACCTAAGAGGGAACATCTGTCCCAAAGCTCTATATACTGTCACCAGCAATCAGCTGTGGTCTAGATAGACAAGTATTTCCTGAGCAACTACAAGATGCTTGGACATCAATTCCTATAATTCCCCAGCAAGACAACACCCTAAAGTTGTTGAGATCGGGAAACACTGATCTAGAATGCAGCTAAAAGCATTGGAGAGGAGCTGACTGCTGCTTTGTACCTGCAATACCTATCACTTTTGAATGGCAGGTGGTTTCTGACTTTGCAAGAACAAAAACCAAAAGCATCTTCCTACCAATCCTTTTCCAAAGAAAAAATTTCAAACATACCTTGCCTATCACTGCAAAGTTGCTGTTAAAAAAAACACTTCCATTGTAGATGGATGCCTTCTTTTCATTCGAAAAACTGCATAGTTATATGTGAATTATAAAAAGATGCATGGAAAAGATTAGGTTCCTTCTCTCACCTATATACAGCAAAGCAGTAACAAGTCTTTGTATCATTGCAATTTAAACATTTTTAAAAACAGAAATCTACTTTGCAGAGACACAAAGACACAGGGCATATTGACATAATTTCATTCAGTTGCTCCTATTTTGTGCTCAGGTTAACTTGACTTTCAATCAGCTTCAGACAATCCTGTTGTGTCTGAAATGCCTGGGCAGCAGCTTTCAAAGTCCTCCCATTGGACAGTGCTCTGCTGTTGTTCCCACTCACCCAATCACTTTCTTTGGGACAGGTCTTATATAGAAGAGGGTTTTATTTTAGTAAATTCACCACTGTACCATTTTATCTTTTCTCAGTTATATATACTCAGTTATAACAATGAATCAAAGGCCTGGAGACTAAAACATACGAAGAACGGCTGCAAGACTTGGGTTTGGCTAGTCTAAAGGGGAGACATGATAGCAGTGTTCCAATATTTGAGGGGCTGCCACAAAGAAGAGGAGGTCACGTTATTCTCCAAAGCACCAGATGAAAGGACAAGAAACAATGGTTGGAAACTGATCAAAGAGAGAAGCAACCTGGAATTAAGGAGAAACTTCCTGACAGTGAGGACAATTAACCAGTGGAACAACCTGCCTTCAGAAATCGTGGGCGTTCTATCACTGGAGGTTTTTAAGAAGAGACTGGACAGCCACTTGTCTGAGATGATATAGGTTCTCCTGCTTGAGCAGGGGGTTGGACTAGAAGACCTCCAAGGTCCTTTCCAGTTCTATTTTATTCTAAAGTTCTGCATACAAAGCAAAGACAATAAACAATTTTGGTGTAACAAAATCATGTAAGAGATGTTATTCAGGAAAAAAAAAATGCAGGGAGGTGCTTCTGTGAAATTACCTCAGTGCAGGGATGGTCTTGAAAAAAGTGGAGCACAACAGGCAATAACTAAGGCAACAGAACCAGAAAACACTAGTTTGAAAGTAGAATAAAGTGACAGGAGGTTATATTTGTGGTGGCTGGCAGGTGGGTTCAGTGACTGTGATTCATCCTGCCATCCGAAACTGGTTGCTAGTCTGTGTTGATGGTGGCACAACCAGGCAGCATGAAGACCTTAAGGTTAATGACAGGCATAGAGAAACAGAGAAAGTTTCAGGGATTATTCTGGGTGATGTTTAATAATAAAGTTAAATCAAATTTAAGCAGCTGTTTCTTCTATTTTTAATTGCACTATAAAGGAATAATAACACTTCAGTATAATCACATTTATTCCACTCACTTCTTGTGTCAAGTTTTCATTCTAGAACATAAATACAGAACATAAAAAAACAAGATTGGAAGGGACCTTGGAGATCGTCTAGTCCAACCCCCTGCTTGAGTAGGAGACCCATTCTGGGCAAACAATTGTCTCTTCTTGAAAACCTCCAGTAATGGAGCACCCATAAATTCTGGAGGCAAGCCATTCCACTGATTAATTGTTCTGTCAGGAAATTTCTCCTTAGTTCTAGGTTGCATCTTTCTTTAATAATCTTCCAATGGTTACTAAGAGAATAAGTCAACCCCCTACTCCCTATGACAATACCTCAAGTACCCGAAGACAAATTTCATGTGAT